ATATCATAATGTGTTCGTAACATGTCATACAAATTGTAATTTGGAATCTATCATATGAAATGTTATTTATTTATTTATTTTTATTTCACCTTTATTTAACCAGGTAAACCAGTTGAGAACAAGTTCTCATTTACAACTGCGACCTGGCCAAGATAAAGCAAAGCAGTGCGATAAAAACAACAACACAGAGTTACATATGGGGTAAAACAAAACAAAGTAAAAAAAATACAACAGAAATACATATATATACAGTGTGTGCAAATTTAGCAAGTTATGGAGGTAAGGCAATAAAATGGGCTATAGTGCAAAATAATTACAATTAGTATTAACACTGGAATGATAGATGTGCAAGAGATGATGTGCAAATAGAGATACTGGGGTACAAATGAGCAAAATAAATAACAATATAGGGATGAGGTAGTTGGGCGGGCTAATTTCAGATGGGCTGTGTACAGGTGCAGTGATCGGTAAGGTGCTCTGACAACTGATGCTTAAAGTTAGTGAGGGAGATAAGTGTCTCCAGCTTCAGAGATTTTTGCAATTTGTTCCAGTCATTGGCAGCAGAGAACTGGAAGGAATTGCGGCCAAAGGAGGTGTTGGCTTTGGGGATGACCAGTGAGATATACCCGCTGGAGCGCAGACTACGGGTGGGTGTTGCTATGGTGACCAATGAGCTAAGATAAGGCGGGGATTTGCCTAGCAGTGATTTATAAATGGCCTGGAGCCAGTGGGTTTGGCGACGAATATGTAGTGAGGACCAGCCAACAAGAGCGTACAGGTCACAGTGGTGGGTATTATATGGGGCTTTGGAGACAAAACGGATGGCACTGTGATAGACTACATCCAATTTGCTGAGTAGAGTGTTGGAGGCTATTTTGTAAATGACATCGCCGAAGTCAAGGATCGGTAGGATAGTCAGTTTTACGAGGGCATGTTTGGCAGCATGAGTGAAGGAGGCTTTGTTGCGAAATAGGAAACCGATTCTAGATTTAACTTTGGATTGGAGATTCTTAATGTGAGTCTGGAAGGAGAGTTTACAGTCTAACCAGACACCTAGATATTTGTAGTTGTCCACATACTCTACGTCAGACCCGTCGAGTGTAGTGATTCTAGTCGGGTGGGCGGGTGCAAGCAGCGTTCGGTTGAAGAGCATGCATTTAGTTTTACTAGTGTTTAAGAGCAGTTGGAGGCTACTGAAGGAGTGTTGTATGGAATTGAAGCTCGTTTGGAGGTTTGTTAACACAGTGTCCAATGAAGGGCCAGATGTATACAAAATGGTGTCGTCTGCGTAGAGGTGGATCTGAGAGTCACCAGCAGCAAGAGCGACGTCATTGATATACACAGAGAAAAGAGTCGGCCCAAGAATTGAACCCTGTGGCACCCCCATATAGAGTTTGCCATAGGTCCAGACAACAGGCCCTCCGATTTGACAGATTGAACTCTATCTGAGAAGTAGTTGGTGAACCAGGCGAGGCAGTCATTTGAGGAACCAAGGCTATTTAGTCTGCCAATAAGAATGCGGTGGTTGACAGAGTCGAAAGCCTTGGCCAGGTCAATGAAAACGGCTGCACAGTACTGTCTATTATCGATCGCGGTTATAATATCGTTTAGGACCTTGAGCGTGGCTGAAGTGCACCCATGACCAGCTCGGAAACCGGATTGCATAGCGGAGAAGGTACGGTGGGATTCGAAATGGTCGGTGATCTGTTTGTTGACTTGCCTTTCAAAAACTTTTGAAAGGCAGGGCAGGATGGATATGGGTCTGTAACAGTTTGGATCTAGAGTGTCACCCCCTTTGAAGAGGGGGATGACCGCGGCAGCTTTCCAATCTCTGGGGATCTCAGACGTTACGAAAGAGAGGTTGAACAGGCTAGTAATAGGGGTTGCGACAATTTCGGCGGCTAGTTTTAGAAAGAAAGGGTCCAGATTGTCTAGCCCAGATGATTTGTAGGGGTCCAGATTTTGCAGCTCTTTTAGAACATCAGCTGTCTGGATTTGTGTGAAGGAGAAGCGGGGGGGGGCATGGGCAAGTTGCAGCAGAGGGTGCAGAGTTGGTGGCCGGGGTAGTGGTAGCCAGGTGGAAAGCATTGCCAGTGATGATGGACATCCACAAATGTATACATACCATCTGAAATGTAACATATCATACTGAATGGAGGGAGACAAAACTACGTTTACTATGTTACGTCTAGCCCTGAGTCCAGGTTGTGAGTAAACACCATCACACCGAAATGACTCACTGTCTCTCAGTCTGACCAGGATGACTCAAGGGCTTAGGGCTGGTTCCTCACTTAGACCTCAACCCTCAAGATATACTTTATGCATTCAACCAAGGTTTCAGGTGGACTTCATAAAATGCAACACAATTCCTTCAGCGTCCTCCCATACTCTGTGAATATGATTTTATTCTTGAATCATCATTATGCTCAAGACTTTGGGTGTTACATGGACAGTATTGCATTGAAGGCTAGAGTAAGAGCCAATCAAGGGTCTCATTACAGTACCTGGTATTGATGATGCCTTTTAATAATAATTTATGGCTAACCTAGGAAGTTTCCCAAAACACCATGTAGAGAAACATTTGTACATTGTTGGAGTTGAGTGGGACATGCACACAGCACTGCACCTGGTGAGGGTTTAGAAGAGGATCATATGACTACAAAGGTTATGGGTAATGAGAGCCAGGTCTGTCAAGTGACTGTGTAAGCTTGTCTGCCGTTCTTCAGTCCCCGCTACATCATTTACTTACCTTGACAGCTGACATGTTGCAAATGTTAATACAAGGAGTCATGTAAAAGAGATTATGTAAAATGAATGTAAATTTAATGTCAAGTATACTTTCTTGTAGAAAACAGGTTCAGGACATGTTCAGGGAAAACAGGAATAAATGTGTCCTTACAAAGAGCTGGTTAGCATGCGGAGGACAGCAAAATTAGTTCTACATCTGTGATCCTCCCAATAGAATTACTGACCTTATATAAGACAGAAATGTCATGAATGCATTTGTTCTCTGTCTCACACTCATATTACTGGCTGCATGGTTTACAACCAACACATTTTAACTATCACTTCTAACATCCCTGTTTGTGACCCAGATAACAGCTTAGTAAATTTAGCTTACAAAGTGTTCATACCTAAAATGATATTAAGACAGTTTGTAAAAGTTATAAATGTCATATGATCGAATTAGAAAAACGTGTTTAGGGGATGGCTGCCCAATGTAATTTGAGTCATGTATTGAAAGAGCGGAAAGTATGAGGTGCTAATTTGTATCGTCCTTTCCCGGCATTGAATTATTCACATTCAATGGTCTGGTCCCAAACACATCCTCACACCTTTGACAGTCAGCACCCATCTCTTGCGTAGAACATCTGATAATTGTATTTGCTTTAATTCTTTTCACATCACATTGTCAGCTTGATTGACACGTGGCAGAACATTTCAGGGTCGGTCTCCCTCCACGTGAAGCTGTCAAAGCCTGACTGGAATCCACTCTGTCTCCTGGAGACTTCTCCCAGGTGGTTTGGGCTGTCGGCCTGTCTTGAAAGTGCTCTGCGTCTGTAGAGGAGTCCTCCTGGACCTCCTGCCCGTCGTCTGAGGATTTACACCATTTCATCAAAAAAATGGAAATGTCATGGCTCAATACGTCTCCCACAGTTGGAATCTAGGGCAATGGCTTATTTATTTCATTTCCTGTAAGCTCTTTGTTTTCACTATTGTTATTTTGTCATTGTTGTTTTTTTCTCCCCTATTTCTCATGCAGAAAATACATGGGTCTGTCAACAGGTCTGTGCTGATAGGGATGAGCGGTTCCACAGTGAAATAGGTTGAGACCCAAGGTCATGTGTGAAGGGAGATGGGGTTGGGAGGGTGGGTGGGTGGAGGAGGGTTGAAAAGAACATTGGGGAATTGGATTGGTGAAAAATCAAGGCATTGGCAAACATTTTGACTTGCTTTGAGAGAGGGAGGGGCATATAGTTTAAAGGAATATCCATGTATGTTCTGTGTGACACTGAGTGCATTCAAATATTGTCAAAATACCTTAAAGACCTTGTTGCTCTTGGTGACTTTGATGTTTCTGACTGGCAGCCTTAATTAAGGGCAATTCACATTTGTTGATAACATGTTTTTCACATGCCATGTGTGCCATTGAGTGCATTGAAATATTGAATGTATGCATTCAAATAAACATTCAAAATAACACACTTTTCACGTCAATAACATGTTTTTCACATGCCAAGTGTGCACGTGTGTCCTTTCTGAAAGCGTTTGAGGGATTGGCACCACACAATGCATTGTGACAAAGACAGTTCTACAGTTACAATGATTTTGGAAATCCACATAAATATTAGCTTAAGAGGCTTTCATGGTCAATGTGTCATCATGTTGTTGCTATTGGGGAGGTTGTTGAATTATATATAAGGTTATTGCCCTTGAAATGCTACTTCTGTCTTGCTTCAATTCACAGTACAGGGACATCAGAGTAAACGAGGATGGTCGATGTGGATTTGAATTTAAACGCAACTTTACATTGGATCCCTTCTACCTTGTGACTTTCCCACCCCTCCTTAGTTTGACCCCTGTGATTTTTTTCAAACGAGATCAAGGTAAAGTCACAAGGAATGGAAGGAGAGAATGTAAAGGAGGAATGATAGTGTTGATGCTGCTGGGCCCTGCAGACTTCACTAATTACCTATTTGTAGGGAGGGGGACATTAAGGAGCCACTGTTTGGAGACTAAATATGACTCACGTTCCACTTCAGTTTTTAAAGAACCTGCTAAACCTGTATTGTGCTTTAATGTCCTCTCCTGCTAATCTGAGGCCTGTAATTAATCCTTATATGATAATGATTGACTTCCTACTGCTTTTCACATACATTAATCCACAGGAACCTCTTGATGGATACGGCTCCATTGGTTGGTGCACCCAAGGGATTGTTGAGAACGGTTAGTTATGTGCTGCATGTAGAACTTCTGATGATTTTCTCTATTTTTTTAGGTACTTTATTGATCGCCACACTGATCTGGAGAGGCAGTTCAATATTAACGTAGATGATGGGAAGATCACTTTGGCCAAACCGCTGGACCGAGAGACAGATATGTGGCACAACATCACAGTAACAGCCACTGAAATCAGTAAGTAACATTTCCAATAGAAATTGTTGCACTGTTTGTGGTCTACTACATAATTAACTAAACGCAATTTCCTTTTCAAATCAATCCAATGATGAAGGACGAGTGTAGACTCAGGGGGAAGACAGCTGCTTGTGAACATTCAGATCTGTTTACTAACACAGTTTGAACAACTTCATTGCTGCCTCCAACAAAGGAGTGACTGGCCTTCATAATCCTCTATAAAATAGTCTCGCACTTGTAACCTATCTCATGTTAATGGCCGTAGAGTGTGGTACAAATAATTAGTGTTTGAATTCACAGGTGCGGAAAATATGTTAAACTGCAGAATTTTGATTGAATTAAATAGCTCAGTAGTCAATTTGTGGAAGTGCAAGTACATTAAGACATATCAAATAAACAGTTGTAAATACAAACACCAACGGTGTATGCACCAATGCCAGCTTCCATTACAGATACAGGAACATCTGTGATCCAGGAAACTGACTGACTATACAACATCTTCGAGGCAGAACTACAAACAACTCAAACCATATGTGAACCTTTATTTGCATACAGATTGTTTCAGGGGGACTGTATGTTGCTATAAAACTTAATGTACACCTTGAAGCTATTGCATGAGAAATGTACAATACTTGTAACTTTCTCTCCCTTTCTTAATCAAAGGGAAACACTAATTGTCACAACAATAAAAATACATTTAAAAAATGCTTTTTATATCAAAGCTATGCTATAGAGCATACATTCATGGCATGTTATTGTAAATGCAATGTGTCTCTGTTGATATTCATGTTAGCTTTGTCATGTCGGGTGCTACACATTTCACTGTGCCTTTCATGGCCTCCCGAGTGGCGCAGTGGTCTAAGGCACTGCATCGCAGTGCAAGCTGTGCTACTAGAGATTCTGGTTCGAATCCAGGCTCTGCTGTAGCCGGCCGCAACCGGGAGACCAATGGGGCGGCGCACAATTGGTCCAGGGTAGGGGAGGGAATGGCAGGCAGGGAGGTAGCTCAGTTGATAGAGCATGGCGTTTGCAATGCCAGGGTTGTGGGTTCGTTTCCCACTGGGGGCCAGTATGAAAATAATAATGTATGCACAAACTGTAAGTCGCTCTGGATAAGAGTGTCTGCTAAATGACGTAAATGTAATGACTTTTGCTAAAGTGACTGTGACTCAAGACAGCAGCATCACTGAACACACTTAATAGAAATTTACCAAAATAAATATGTCTGTTTACTATTCTTTGTGGATTGGAGCCAAACAGGAAGAGGAAGAATTGTGTTCCCAGTCCAATTCCATTGCCATTTGCCACCCAAAGGGTGTACTGTTCTGCTGCTTGCACCAGTTGACATCTGACTAATCAGATTGCAATGCTTGCTGCGGTGGAGTGAAAGTCACTTCAACAGAGCACAAGGAAAATGTGGACACTTCTCTTTTTCCCACTCTGTCCATCTATCACCTTCTAGCAAACTGTCTATTTTAGTTTCTCTCTGTTTCCTACTCTTTCTCTCCTCTCTTATGCTCACCTCTGGGTATTTTGTCCTGAAGCATTCTTAAGTGTAAAATCCTCCACTTGCTGCAGTGTTATGTGAGTGAGCTAAGGGGTGCTTATATCACAACCTTATATCACAACCATATATCAAAACCATTTTCAGTTTTTCTGTTTTCTATGTGACAACATGGATCATGTACATCATTGTTTTGAATGTTAGCTATCTGTATGGTCTCAAAAACATACAAACAGAGGAAAGGTGGTCAACATCCATTTGCTCTATGGACCAAATTAATAGATACAAGTTAGTGGTTGCAACACTTCTTAAATACAATTATTTACCTCAAAAGGGACTGTCAATTACGTGCGATGAATAATCACAATAAAAATGGAATCTAATTAAATTGCCCTTTATTATCTTTTTAGACTTCTGCTACCGTTGATTCATTAATATGAATTTTTTAACCTTCATGCATAAAACATGAGCGTGTTCAGGGGATTTCAAAAGCACTTTGAATGTGATTTTTTTTCCTCACCAATCCTGTTTTGCATTCTTGATATCAGCTAAAACTCAGATTGATGTGGCTTCTCATCTGTCTTTCTATCAGACTAGGGAATTAAAGAAAATAACAGAAGAAAAAAAAATCTGGGTCATGGAATTTACCTGGGATTTAATTTCCCGCTGTACAGTATCCAATGTTATTGTATTCATTGTCTGTTTTTTGGTTTTGTTTATCAGGAAACCACAGCCAGATATCACGGGCTATCGTGGCCATCCGAGTGCTGGACATCAATGACAACGCCCCAGAGTTTGCGACGGAATACGAGGCTTTCCTCTGTGAAAATGGCAAACCTGGCCAGGTAGGGGGCATTCATCAAGGCTGCCATTGTCGTCTTCCCCTGTATCTCCTCAGTAATGATCAGCCATGGTGAATTATAGCCTATTTATTTCACTGGGAAAGTACAGAGGCAGGAGTGTGGCCTTTCTCTGAGACACTCCTCCCCTGACACAACACACAGAGACTGAGGGACAATGAAAGCAGTCGGAATTGATCAGAGTGAATCATAATTCAGAGTTGTCTTTCATGTCCTCCTCCAGATGACACAATGGATCTCTAGCCAAAATTCTGGACAAATGCTTTGCATTTTCCTTCACATCAATCCTATTCATTCAGACGACTACAGTAATAAATAAAAAAAGACCAATGACCAAGATAGCTGAATTCTCATTTCTAATCAGTCACAGACATACAGCTTGATAAGAACTATGATAGCAGATAAATAGATGTACCCAGAAACCAAAAGTGTGCCAGATGAGACAGCACCACATTGATAACAATCTCAAATTCCTGGAATGAATGGAGGATATTTTTCATTTTCTCTGAGCCAATGTCACGGTCAGGCTTTTTGTGATGGCAAAAACAAAGTAATGGATGACCTATCTCTCTAATGGCATTGGGCTCCTCTCTTTCTGTCTGTTTTTCCACAGGTGATACAGACGGTCAGTGCTGTCGACAAGGATGACCCAATACAGGGACACTACTTTGAATACCGCCTCATCCCAGAGATGTTAAACAATCCTAATTTCACCATAAAAAACAATGGAGGTAAGGACAGAACATGAGAGAGAGAATGACAAAACATGTCTTCTATCCTGCAACCTATTAGTCCAATCGAATATATCAAAGTCAAATATATTATAATATATTAGCATATTAACATATTAGTCAAAGATTAAATCTGGTTGGATTACCGTACCCAGTAGTTAGCAGATGCCTAATAGCCTGGTCATCAGCTACTCTTTACTCCCCAGTGCATTTTAAAGGAAAGTATATTAGTTGAATCCAAATTGTCTGTCACGATCGTTATAAGAAGTGACGGACCAAGGCGCAGCGTGATAAGCGTACATTATTTTAATGAGTACACATACGAACAAAACAATAAACGGTACGTGAAGTCCTAGGGTTAACCACAAACCTTACGGATCAAGATCCCACAATACAAAAGTGCCAACAGGCTGCCTAAGTATGGTTCCCAATCAGAGACAACGAGAATCAGCTGCCTCTGATTGGGAACCACCCTGGCCAACATAGAAATACAACGATCTAGAACAGAAACCTTGAAAACTACAACATAGAAACTAACACCCTGGCTCAACATAAAATAGTCCCCAGAGCCAGGGCGTGACATTGTCTGCGGGTAGTCTTGCAGCTCAATGTAGGGTGACTTTCTGAGAGCTGTTGCCGCATGGCAGATGGCACTACATTTGTTTGCTAAATACGGTGATTGGTTTAGCTGGCTTTCTGGTCTCCTTTCTCCCCATCCCCTGCTCTTTTCCATTACTCTCACTGAAGAGCCCACTCTCATCCTGATGTTGTTGCGTAATGTTTTCAAAGAGCTTGGGGCGAAGAATCTTCATCTGGTTCTGTCCGTCTGTTTTGATGCGAAGCCTGCAGGCAAGAGGAACTGCTGTGTCTAGTTGTTAGTAAAAGGAAAATATAAAATCTGGACATTAAATGGAAACCTGCCACCATGGAAACAGGTGTATTAAGAGAAAAATCTGATAAGTTGCTGAATCTAGAGGAATTTGTAAAGAAGAAACCACAGGCAACATTGAAGCAATATTTTCACATGTAGATATCATTAAGATATTCATTCAACTGCCCAGAGACTAATACAAATATAACCTTATCACTAACAGTAGAGACAGGTTTTTACATTTTGATGTTCACATTTTCTCAGCAAAAATTGGATTGTGATAAATGTAATACTGCTGTATTGATAGGAACTAGCATTTTACCAGACAGTCTTATCCAAAGCGACTTACAGTAGTGAGTGCATACATTTGTATATTTTTTGTACTGGTCTCCTGTGGGAATCGAACCCACAACCCTGGCGTTGCAAGTGCCATGCTCTACCAACAGAGACAGACACTGATTGTACAAAACATGACATTGACTGACCAGGTGAATCCAGGTGAAAGCTATGGTCCCTTATTGATGTCACCTGTTAAATCCACTTCAATCAGTGTAGATGAAGGGGAGGAGACAGGTTAAGAAGGATTTATTTTTTAAAGCCTTGAGACAATTGAGACATGGATGGTGTATGTGTGCCATTCAGAGGGTGAATGGGCAAGACAAAAGATTGAAGTGCCTTTGAAAGGGGGGTATGGTAGTAGGTACCAGGTGCACTGGTTTGAGTGTGTCAAGAACTGCTGCGCTGCTGGGTATTTCATGCTCAACAGTTTCCCATGTGTACCATGAATGGCCCACCACCCAAAGGACATCCAGCCAACTTGACACGACTGTGGGAAGCATTGGAGTCAACATGGGCCAGTATCCCTGTGGAAGGTTTTTGACACCTTGTAGTCCATACCCCGAGAAATTGAGGCTGTTCTGAGGGAAAAAGGGGGTGCTCTTCATGTTTTGTACACTCAGTGTATACTGACGTACTGTATACTGGATTTTTTAAATTTATTTTTATGATGGAGACACTTTTGGGATGAAGTTGCTACAATGTGATGGACAACATGTTTCCTTTAGGCTTTATTGCTAATGTTTCACGTCTCTCTGCCACACATGCTCAGAGAGAGGGTAGACAATTGAACTGCCCTAATGGAAAAAGCACATTATTTTCACATGTGAACACGTGAAGTGTTCCAAAAACACGTTTTCATGTGATTACATGTCATCTCATGTGAAGTTAATGTGATAACATGTGACAACATGTAAAGCAACATGTGATAACATCAAACTACAAATGTTGAAACGTGATCACATGTAAAATGTGTTCCAAAAACACGTTTTCACATTATTTCAAATGTGAAATTTCATGTGAAATCATGTGATTTCCCACATGTGAAATCATGTGGCTTTTCTGTAAGGGTGAGACTATCATAAACATGTTTTCTGTTACACCAGCTTGAGTAGACTCTTACAGGAATAAGAGTGTTTGACAATATGTGGGTGAGTGGATATGCTTAGCTGGATAATGAACACAGAGCTCACAGAAGTGTCATCAAAGAGCCCCTGGCACCTCTCTGAGTTGCCTTGTACCATCTTCTAAGTCAGTGTCGCACTCACGTCTCTTCATTTCCCCATCTTAGTAAGGGTATGACAAAATAGGGTTCAATCTCTTACAGAGTTCTGCTATTGGAATATGGTGAGGAGGAAGGTGACTGAAAGCAATCAACAGAATATAAATGTGAGACCACAAACCACTTGGCAGGGCAATGCAACTGCTGTTTTTCTAGTGTCATCACCTCACCCTCATTTGGAATTGCCCCCCCACATTTTTTTTTAACTGGATTGCAAAACATTTTGGTTTGTCACTCTACAAATAAACATGCTCTTACTCAACAGAAGCTTGTTTGCTACATGTTTTTTTTACAGCTACTTTCTCTCCCCACAGACAACTCCATCAGTGTTTTAGCCAAGCATGACACCTTCCGGCGCCAGAAACAGGAGATGTATTTCCTGCCCATAATTGTGACTGACAATGGAAGTCCTCCAATGAGCAGCACTAACACGTTGACCATCCGGGTGTGCGGATGCAGCAGGGAGGGAATAGTCCAGTCATGCAACGTGGAGGCCTACGTCCTACCCATTGGCCTCAGCATGGGAGCTTTGATTGCCATTCTGGCCTGCATAATACTACTTTTAGGTAAGATAATACTGATATTTAATGCAATTTGATTACATCGGAAAAATACAGACATGTAACATTGGTAAACTTCTACAAACATTGTCTTTGTGAGCACATGACTTTGACATGTCCTCTTGTTCGGCAGTTATAGTGGTGCTGTTTGTGACGCTGAGAAGACACAAGAACAAGCCACTTATCATCAAAGATGACGAAGATGTGAGGGAGAACATAATCCGCTATGACGATGAGGGGGGTGGAGAAGAAGACACTGAGGCCTTCGACATTGCCACACTGCAGAACCCTGATGGTATCAATGGCTACCTGCCCCGCAAGGATATCAAGCCAGACCTGCAGTTCATGCCAAGGCAGAGTGGTGGGCCTAACGGTGTGGACGTGGATGAGTTCATCAACGTCAGACTCCACGAGGCGGACAACGACCCCACAGCCCCTCCCTACGACTCCATTCAGATCTATGGCTATGAGGGCCGGGGCTCAATTGCTGGGTCTCTGAGCTCCCTCGAGACTGCGTCCTCAGACTCAGACCAGAACTATGACTACCTCAGAGAGTGGGGTCCGCGTTTCAGAAGACTTGGGGAGCTCTACTCAGTGGGTGAAAGTGATAAGGAGACTTGACCTTTGATCAGCAGAGACCCATTGATTTTGTCCACATACTTGTGTATTATGCTAGGGTTTGCCGGCTTTTAGAAACAGCTGTTTACAAAAGGGGGCCACCTTTTGTACTCTTAGAGTGAAGTATAGCGTTCATCATCTATCACATCAAGCGCTTTGTATTGTTGAGCCAAACTTAACAATGTCTATATTAGGAAGTCTATGATTCTTGTGGAGTGTAACTTAGATTCCGTCGTGGAGTGTCTAGCAGTATTTTGGGTATTTGTCATTCGCTGTGACTGCCAGAAGCATAAAGACCTGGATTCTTGGTAGTTGCCTGATGAAAGAAGAGAAAGGGATTGTATGACGTTGGAGAACGTGGAGGTTCAACCACAGAACAATGGTACTACTGAGTGGCCCTCGTCTCAGATCTCTACCCACCACCCAGATAATCAGAGATAAAATAGGAAACTAAAAGAAAAAGCAATATTTGGTCTACATTACAATGTTGAATGTATGTATGATTTGAAAAAGCAAAAATGAGAACCACTAAAATATTGGCTTTAAAATGGATTTGTTGAGATATCATTTGATACCAGGTGGCCACATTTATAAACTGTCTGAGCCAGACGGCTTGCTTTGTACAACTATTTGTATTTACACCCTCCAAGTGTGGTTTGCAAATATTATTAGCCTAAAAAAGACTAAAGCGAAAGACAAAAAAAGAGAAATGTAGAAACTTTGAGGCCTTCTTTTTACAGAAGCAAGCATTAAATACAATTGTATTCAAATGTTTTTTGAAAATAATCGTGTTGATTCCTCATTATCGTTGTATGATTAGTTTTTTTATATATCTGTTCTTATTTGCGTTTTTTTCTGTGCTACAGGTTATAAGTGAGTGCGAGATTAGAATGATCCCTTTTCTCAACTGTTCTTTCCACCGCTGAAGCTATTTCATCACAGCTGAACTTGTTGTTTGGATATTTCTATTAATATAGTATACAGAGAACAGGAATTACTGTATAGTAAAAGATTGGATGGAAAGGGAATTTTTACACACACAATTAATGTATACTGTTTAGCATTATTCTGTATACAGAGTTACCAGTGACCATTTAAGCACAATAGCTGGGATAATTTAATTGATGTGAATATTCGACCCCTCAATTTTCTATTTCATTTAGGAATCACTGGTAACATAAACCCATAAAAATAAAATACAGACTCTTGCATATTGTGGTACACTGTATGATATTAGACAAAATAGACATGTACATAGAGTTACTGCTAATATCCTTAGCTTTCATTGAGGTGGTAGGTTTTGTCTATGCACGTTAGCTCTTGCACATGAGAATCTAAAATGGCGCTACAGCTGCGTGCATACTCAATTTGTACTGATACAGTATATGGCAGTTCTCAGTAGACTTAACGATATATATGAAATAGTCTTACATGCAGATCATATTTTCTACTGTGCTTTAATGCTTATAAATGTGTATGTTTAATTATTTACTCCCTGTAATGTAATCTAAGATACCCTGTATTGTTTCCTACTTTGTGAAATATATTTTTATAAATATTGCTGAATGGGTTTGGCTTTCTTTAGCAGCTAAGATGGTTTGAATAAGAGAGCTTTGCACAGTTCCTACTTGAATTATCTATGTACATCATTGTGCATCAGGAAGTACAAATATCAAAATGTCAACATGTCACATATCTTGTAATTAGGAAGAATGTATTTGGCAGTTGATGCACTGACTGGTTTTAAAACCTACAGTCAGGCCCAAAATTATTGGCACCCTTGATAAAGATGAGTACGGAAGCATCTTGTTCCTAGTATCTTGTTCAAACAAGTTAGTATCTCATTTGAACGACTTAGTTGTTATTGTCTAATTAGGACTCATTTGTTATGCAGTTGTGCTTGTCAGACCATTGCTGCAGCCATTCATTCACTGATTCCATCCATTGATATGATTATTCATTGACAGTTCTTTGAATGCCAGAGCATGTAAGTGTGCAAACAAAATCTCACTTTTTTCCCCAATTTGACTTCAGATTCTGAAGTTGATCCACTTTTCTCCAAATGTTTTGAAGTTGCTCCAAACATCACATTTCTAAGTGTTTTTGATACCATGGGTTGCTCTTCCTGCTCAGCATCATCTTTCATTAATTATGAATGCTTAAGTTAAGGTTTAAAGTTTTGGATAGGGTTAAAACAAAAACAACTACACTGTTAAGTTTAGGCATTCATTCTGAATGGTTAACGTAAGAGTTAAGGTTTGGGATAGGGTTACTGGGATTGAACATGCGACCCTCGGAAGGATGAATTTAGTATCTCGAATGACTTAGTATCTTGTTTGAATGACTAAGTAATTTAAAAAATAAATAATTAGCTTCAGGGCTTCCGTAGATAAGCAAAAAAGATTGTAAAAAATAAATAATACAAATACTAAGCTTTATTGTATGCTATTTTTTTTTAGAAAATCAGATTTTCATTTCATTTTATTTTATATACTAATACAGTTGCTCAGGGAAAGAGATTTTGTTTTACCTTTAAATACCTCACCTTGCGAGGATAATGGCACTGAGGCTCTTTCTAAAATGTTGAATGAGCTTGGAGAACACATTGGGAGGGATCTTAGACCATTCCTCTATACATAATCTGTCCAGATCATTGATATCCTTTGTCTGCGCTTATGGAATGGACAGCTACAGGTTTTTAATTGGGTTCAAGTCCGGAGACTGAGATGGCCATTGCAAAATGTTGATTTTGTGGTCAATTAACCATTTCTTTGTGGAAATTTGATGTGTGCTTAGGGTTATTGTCTTGCTGGAAGATTCACTTGCGGCCAAGTTTCCGCCTCCTGGAGAGGCAACCAGGATATTGCCTAAAATGTCCTGGTACTGGGTAAAGTTCATGATGCCGTTGGCCTTAACAAGGGCCCCAGGAGCAGTGGAAGTAAAATAGCCCCATAACATCAAAGATCCACCATCATATTTTACAGTAGGTATGAGGTTATTTTCTTCATATGCATCTTTCTTTCGATGCCAAACCCACCACTGGTGTGCATGGCCAAAGAGCTCTATTTTCATGTCATCTGACCATAGCACAGGTTCCAGTCTAAGTGCCAATGCCATTTAGCAATCTCCAGGTGTTTACATTTGTTGGATGACATGAAAATATAGCTTTTTGGCCGTGCATGCAGAATCTCTTTCTCTGAGCAACTGTATTATTATAAAATAAAAAAATAATAAAAAAAGAAATTGCATACAATATAGATCAATATTTGTATTATTTATTTTATGCTTTTTTGCTTATCTTTATCAAGGGTGCCAATAATTTTGGGCCTGACTGTATTTCCTCAAGAATTCTGTATTTTTTGTTGGCATGGAAAGCAAAAAAAAACATTGACATTTGAGCCAGTAAAGTAAAAAGTATGTTACAATCAAGGTCACTGACTGTGAACCTAAATGTTAAATGGCAGGCAGAAAAAAATCAGGAAATGTCAACTGCTTATCATTTTTTGCTCCTAGTAGCTTTTCTTTTCTTGAAAAAGTACTGTGGTGATGAAGGCATGCCTTTATCCACATAAGATGCTGGGATTGTTCTCAACCTATGCTGTCTTAAAGAAATACATTATCAGTTTAACATTATGGAATTAAGTCAATTTAACTTTACACATCACATACATTGTCTAAATTGCTTGTGTATTGAATGTGGGGGACTTATACTTGTCTGTTTCAGCAGAAGCAAAAGTAAACTTCACAGCTTTTGTTTGATCAGACTGGGTAGCTCAGCTCTGAACAACATGAAACTGTCCATAACAAAGATCCCTCCAAGGGCTTGAGATATTGTATTCCATTTCAAGGGCATAACGTAGAAAAGCGACTAATGGATTTATGTACAACATGTTCTCAACTATTTACAAAGAACAAAATGGCTCATGTCCCATTACAATGTGTAGAGGACTATGCAGGTATGCAAGGTTGTTACCATCAGTGACAGAGGGTGGAAAAAGTTTAGCGTGAGCTCACTTGGTCACTGAACTTATTTCCTTTTATGAGTAAGTGCCCCTCTTCATGTGTCTCATTTCGGTCAATTGAATATGTATTCATTTTTATTTTAAATGAAAATAACAGTCTCAAAAAGCTATTTTTGTGGAACATGCAATGCCATTAGACCATTTTCTTCAATTTGATATCTGCCAAAGCCTGTCAACCTGCAAATAAATATTGTGAAGTCTGTTAAACACATATGTTTTTCAATTAGATTGAACAGATGTTCTTTATGTATACCCTCTCACCTCTAATTTCTCTTCAAAGAAAGTAAACCCAACAACATTCCATCTTGGAAAGTTACCTACTCATGTAAAAAGGTTTCTCATGGAATGAATAGGCCTTGAATATATTAATTCAATTGAATTCCATTGTATGGCTCTGTGTTATATAGTAATAATAGTCTGTCCCGCATTGTGTTATCAAACAAAAGAGAGGCTTAGAGGCATTGCAATTTTTCGCTTTTTTACTCACATTTTCTTAAAAAGATAGATTTATTTTGAGCATCCTTCTCTCGTGGTTAATCCTGCTGAAAGATTAGAGTTCAATTTTATCTGATATTGTAACGACTCTTTATGAATAACAAAATAACTTGATCTTGTCAATTACTGACTGTGCTTGAATTAATTTATATTGTGTTACACAGAAAGAGAGTGGGGGGATCATTTATTTATGTCTTTGTTTATTTGAATCCCATATACTTCATAGGCAGTTAGAAATGTGGATATGCTGTAGTAAATCACCATAAAATATAGTCATATGAAGCTAACTCATCCCACCTAAATACTGCAATACTAGTATACTTTACTGCAAATTATACTGAACAAAAATATAAATGCAACATGTAAAGTGTTGGTACCATGTTTCATGAGCTGAAATAAAAGATCCCAGAAATTTTCCATACACACAAAAAACTTATTTCTCTAGAATTGTATGCACAAATTTGTTTACATCCCAAAAAGCTG